CACGGATGCCAGGACCTCACATCTTTTCCTCTTTATCACCGATCGCCCACCATACCTGACTGTGGCGGCTTTAAATCTCTTCTTTCGGCGTTTGGTTGGCAGGCATCAGCTGCACAGCAAGTTGCATGAAATGCCTAAAGTGGGGATCGTGAAACACGGAGCAAATCCTTCACTACAGGGATTTTACAGAAATTTTAACTTGATTTATGACTTAAGAGAGCTAGACACATATTGAATGGTATAGCACTCCCTATCGCCTGATTCCGATGGTAGGAATTCACTTTTCAGTCACTCCGTAGCGCTTATGAATCCTAAAATGTCACTTTTAATTAATCTAAATTGAACACGGATTTGAGTGGTTTCTGGGCTCCAAATCGGAGATCGTAACTTTAAGGTAAATGCCACTTTAGCGCACTGAAATAGAAGCACTGCATTGTCGGGATACTGAAGAATACTGCACTCAAAATTCGAGCAAAAATATTTTGTAGCACACTGATTATCTCTACTGTTTAAGGAGTTAAAAACCTTTAAAAATCAGTCCTAGTTAATAGTTATAAGTAGCTGTGTCTAATGGACAATACAAAAACAAATGGGATGTTATTCATTTAGGCTTGGCAAGACGGCAAAACGTCCAAATGATTTCAGCCTATGTATTTCAGCTGCCCTCTCTGTATTTTACATGCTTGCTATCTTGTATTTACAGTCTCTCTCCCCCCCTCTCTCTCTCTCCTCCCCCTCTCCCCCTCTGCTCTCAACGACCTGTCCTGTAATGCCACCCCTGGGGCAGTTTTAAATTTATTGCTTTTGGCCGAAGGCCCTCGCAACATAAATAAGCCGAGAGAAACAATGGACGGACTGAATGAACATCATACCAGAATTGTTGCTCACTGGAAGGGGCCGGAAGACGTGCACTTCACTTTCTATGCTATTGCAGAGAAACTTCTACAATCATCGTTCTCCGTTTCTATTCTTCATATTTCCTTCTCCGTTGGCTTTTCTCATTTCCTTACTTTGCTCCCTTGGTACTTATACCCCCTTTCACGCTAAAGCGACGTCAGTGTTATGAATGGATCCACAATGGTATTTGACCCAGGTCAACGACCTATCTGGCAAAACCCATCGGGGGGGAAAAAGAAAGTCCTAAAATTGAATGGCTAACTCATGCATAACTTTAAAAGAAGATATCTGTTGTTGCTTGGGAGCTACGTGGCAACGTGGTTGTAAAAAGGACACATCCTCTCTTTGAGCATCCTCGGTCGCCTCCTTCAGTGACCTGTGATTTATTTTCTGGATTGCGGCGTGGTGTGTCAACTTCCTCTCAATGCAGACGTGCACACCCAAGCACATAACACAATGCCGACATGAAACACCC